TGTCCAAATAATAGGTGGTCACAGGACCTTCCAATTTAAAATGAAAATTTTATAATGATAGTTGACTGTATCTTAGTTATGTCAGACTGCCATATTTGAGGACCTCTAAAGTAAGGAACTGGAAACCCTCGTGGCGTAGTAGTTAAGAGTTTGGCTGCTAACCAAAAGGTTGGCAGTTCAAATCCACCAGGTGCTCCTTGGAAATCCTATGGGGCATTTCTACTCTGTCCTATAAGGTCACTATGAGTCAGAATCGATTCAATGGCAACGGGTTTGTTTGTTTTAAAGTAAGGAGCTGAAGTCCCTGGGCAGTGCAAATGGAAGGTTGGTGATTCCAATCCACTTAGAGATGCCTCAGAAGACAGGCCTGGCGATCTGTTTCCAAAAGGTCATATCTTGAAAACCTCATGAAGCAGATTTCTACTCTGGCCACATGGGGTCACCATGAGTTGGAATCGATTCAACAGCAACTAACAACAACAACGATAAGGAAATATTCATTTTTTTAATGACAAAAAGAAGAGAAATGGGAAGTTTGTCAAAAAACTAGACAGACTCAATTTCCACATTTTTCACGAGACTGTCTGTGATTGCCTCACTCCCTCCTCTCTGCTTTTACCACACTCACTGTTTATTATAGAATCACCTTGTATAAGGCAGTTGTGTCTCCAGGTCTAATTGATATAAATCTGAATGAGACTGACTTTTCCTATTCCGGTAATAAATTGAGACCCTTTACTTTAAATACCCAAAAAAAGTCAACTTAGCACAAAAGCCTTGTGAGACTCATAATTGTATTCCCAAGTGCGGTCTCTAACCTTTTTTGGTCACACATTCCTGTTTGTAAAACTTCTGATATTTGTATATTTATTTAAAATTTGTACTAGTGTATTAATCTATTAAATGTTAATCGATCTGAATTTCTTCCTTTTTTTAAGATAAAAATTAGAAATGGAAGTTACATTTTTTTTCCCACAACCAGAGTCTCATTTTGGAGACCCATGTCCTAAAGCACCAGGTACAATACCTTGACACATCATGAGCACTCAGTACACACTTATTGATTGAAAGACAGTTGTGTGTGGCCTTTCACGTTCACTCTACATGGGCCAAAGGCAGTGGGGATGGGTTCCCCTCTAATTCTAAGCAGATCAGAGTATCACACTATCCTCATCTAGAGTTAGGCAAATTCTCTATTGCAAGCATAAATTACTTTCGTAATGAAATAATAGAAAAGAAACAAGCAGGTGGTCTTATCTGCCCATGAGGTACTCCTATTCCACCCTTTGATTTTGGACTTCTGGCCTCCAGAACTCTGAGAGAATAACTTTCTGTTCTTTTAAGCCACCAAGTTTGTGTTATTCTGTTACGGCAGCTTTAGGAAATTAATATACGGTTAATAGCACTCGTAGGAGCCCTAGTGCTGCAAGGATTAAGTGTTTGGCTGCTAACTGAAAGATTGGAGGTTCAACTCTACTAGCCACTCCTTGGGAGAAAGATGTGGCAGTCTGCTCCGGTAAAGATCACAGCCTTGGAAAATCTATGGAGCAGTTTTATTCTGTCTTATAGGGTCGCTATTGGAATTGACTTGATGGCAGTAGGTATAATGGCATACAAAAGGATCTGATGGGTTGGGGAGGAGAGGGTAGGATGGACACAGGGGCGCCTCTGAGCAGGCACCATTTGAACAGGAAAGTGAGGGAAGTGAGGGAGAGCACTCTGGGATGGTCCAGCAGGGGTCTGCTGCAGGCAAAGAGAACAGTAGGAAGATCAGTGTCACTACAGTGGAGTGACTGAGAGGGAAGATAGATGAGATCAGAGAAGTAGTCAGAGGCTAGATCACACAGGGCTTTGAAGCCATGGTAAGAATTTGACTTTTATGATTCTGATGAGAAGTCACTGGAGAGTTTTGAAGAGAAGTGAAAGCTCTGATTACGTTAAAAAAAAAAAAAAATCACTGCTGTTTGGAGAAAGACAGGAGAGGAGCAAGGGCAGAAGCAGGGAGACTAAATAGGAGACTTTATAGTACTCTAGGTGAGAGAAGATTGTGGCTTAGGTTAGAGAGGGAGATAGATATGGTTAGATTTGAGATACCTCTTTAAGGTGGAGTCAACAGAATTTGCTGGATGTTTGGATGTGGGGTCTGAGCTAAAAAGATGAGTCAAGGATAATGCCTAGCGTTTCATCCTGGTTAAATGGTGGTGGTAACCTGTACTGAGATAAGGAAGGGGGAGGCATAAAGGAGGAGTGGGTGGGTGTGGTATCAGTAATTCTGTTTTGGACATACTAAGTTTAAATACCTATTAGACATTCAAGTGGAATGTTGAATAAGAAGCTGGATATATGTGTCTGGAGCTCAGGAGAGACGTAAAGCTAGAGGTAAAAATTTGAAAGTCATCAGGTTATAGGATGAGCATGTATCGCCACAGAATTAGACAGCAACTAACAAAGTATGGTTAGAAAGAGAATACAGCTGGTGGTTCTCTAACATTTAGTGGTTGAGAAAAGGAGACACAGGAGTGACCAGGGAGGTAGAAGGAAATGCAAGAGAATGTAGTGACCTGGCAAAGAAAGAATATCAAGGAACAGGGAGTCATCATTTGGGTCAAATTCTACTGAGGGGGTCAGGAAAGACGAGAACTGTGCATAGACATTGGATTTGGCAAGATGATCACTGATGACATTGACAATTGGGGGAATGGGAACACCAAGTCTGAGATGAAAAGGTGGAGGAGGAAATAGGAAAAGTGGAAATAGAGAGTAGAGGCAAGTCTTTCAGACAGTGTATATATAAAAAGAAATGGGGTGGGACCTAGAAGGTGATGTATGGTCTGGGGGGATTATTTAAAGCCTAGAAATTTATCAGCAGATATTTTTTAAATGAATAAATAAACATACTATGAGGTGCAAATGCCTCAACAGATGAGGTGTAAATGATTCAACAGTATAAATGTACTTTACACTTCAAGTTTCATACAACTGGACACATGAGCAACATCATTTACTTTGCTTCAAAAGTAAGTAAGTCAGTACAGCCACTATGGAAAAATTTGGCAGTTTTTCTCAAAAGTTGAACATAGAACTACCATATGACCCAGAAATCCCAACCCTGGGTATATCCCCAAAAGAAACGAAAGCAGGAACACAAACAGAAACCCATACACCGGTGTTCACTGCAGCACTATTCACAATAGCCAAAAGGTGGAAACAACTGAAATGTCCATCAACAGATGAATAGATAAAACAAAATGTGGCATATACATACAATGGCATATTGCTCATCCACAAAGAGGAATGAAGTCTTGATACATGCTACAATATGGATGAACATTGAAAACATTATGCCAAGTGAATGAAATAAGTCAGTCACAAAAGGACAAACACTGCATGACCTCACTCATATGAAATAGCAAATATACAGAAACCAAAGCTAATTAGTGATAACCAGAGGTGGGAGGGAGAGGAGATGGAGGAGTTATTGCTTAGGGAACATTGAGATCAGGATTGGATTACCATAGGCAAGGTAAGCACCAGTTTACTGGTGCTTACTTACTAATCTGTAGTGACCAATTTCACATGGGTCATCCCCCTGTTAGAAGCTGTAAATTTGAAAAGAGGCTTTGATTCTGTAGTAGGAAGGTGCTGTGGCGTTGGAAGAGAGACAGATGCCAGCCATAACTAGAAGCGGAATCTCTGATGTGGTGAAAATGTGAAATTGTTCACTACAGATGATCTGGTAAGCAAGGTAAACACCGTGTTTTTGTTGTTTGTTTTTCTAGGTTTTTTAAAAATTAATTTTTTATTGTGATTTAGGTGAAAGCTTACAGAGCAAATTCGTTTCTCAATAAACAGTTAATACACAAACTGTTTTGTGACACTGGTTGCCAACCCCTTCGATGTGTCAACACTCCCCCCTTCTCCACGCCGTGTTCCATGTTTCCATTTGTCCAATGTTCTTGTCCCTTCCTGCCTTCTCTTCTTTGCTTTTGGGCTGCTGTGCCCATTAGTCTCCTATACATGATTGAACTATGAAGCACGTCCCTCAAGTGTGTTATTGTTGGCTAACCACCACGTTTACCTTTCCTATTGGATAACCTGTCCCTGATTGAGATTATGCTAATGATGGTAGAATAATTTGGAAAAGGATGGTGATAACGGTTGCACAACATGAAGAATGTAATCGATGTCACTGAATTATACATGTAAAAATGGTTGAACTGTCAAATGTTTTGTTATGTATATTTTTACCAGAAAAAAAAAAAACCCAACCCTTTGTGGTTGAGTAGATTCCGACTCATAGCGATCCACACACAAAAACCAGCAAAAAAAAAGTAGGTAAATCATTATTCTATACCTTCTTGTCTATTTTCTGATTTGATGTAAAGAACTTTTTCTTTACTGTTAGAGGCAAGATTTCAAAAAATTAGATTAAAAAATGGAGTTGTTTAACTCCATTGATAATCAACACACTACTTAAAGTGTTAAAAATGTAAGAATCATATTTTTTAAAGTAACACTTTTGTTTTTCCAGTTTACTGCCTTAAAAACTAGAGAGTTTCTAACTAATGTAATAGTGGCAACTAGCTCACAGCTGCCAGCTCAGGTTATTTTTATTCAACTTCGCTTTTGGACAAGAAGCCAAATGAGACACCCAATCCAAAACCTTCAGCGTTGGCTCTGTGACGGTGAGGCTTACGCAGAACCTTTAAGACATTTAAGACGCTGGGCTATTTGCTTATGGTTCTGAGGTTTCTTTAACAAAACAGGTTTTCTAGTCAAAATGAAACAAGAAAATCAGAAAGTTGTGTGGACTTTCCCTTCAGAATAACTGACTACAATGACTGAGCTGGGCCTGTCCCGAACCCTCTCAGACAGCAGCGCCCCTGCCCCGCTGCCGCGCAGCCAGGTCCGCCCCCTGGGGCGGGTTGCGCGGGGCTGCCCGGCCCTCTAGCCCACCAATGTCCCCGGTGGCGGCTCCCGCCCGCGGTCCCAGTACTTGCCTGGAAGGCAGGCGGCGCCGCGGCCAGCCGGGCGGCTTCTTCGTCTTCCTCTTCCACTGAGCGAACCCAGTGGATGTGTGACTTCCCCTCGGGGTTGGCGGGGGAGTTTGTCCAGGACGTGGTGGCCACAAAGCCCGTCCCCACCGCCACCGTCCCCTGCGCTCGGCCGAGCCCGCCAAGCCCCGAAGCGCGGCAGTTGGAACCGGGAAGTCCCCACCCCGCCCTCCTGGAGACGCGCTGACACTTAAACTTGGAGGTTGTCGCTCGCCAGGCCACTCTCCGCGCCCGGCCTCACCGGCCTCGCCGCTCCGAGGGGCTGCCTGAGGCCCGGCAGCTGCGAGACGGCACGCTCCGCCCGGGACGCCGCCGGGAGCCGCGCGAGTCAGGGTTAACGCCGCCGGGGCACCCCGCGGAGGGGAGAAGCCTGGCAAAGGGCGGAGAAGGGGAAATCGAGATGGGGAACTGTTCACCGAAGGATATGTGGACTGTCTGCGCTTCTTCGTAAAAAATAAAAAAATTAAAAAAAAAAAAAAACTTTTCCCCCCATAATCCGCGACTTCGAGGCCCAGAGGGAAAGAACTTCAGTCTGCTCTTTACAGACCTGGGTGCTGGGGTTGGGGCTACAATCCATCTCTGACTCTGGCCTGTCCAGTACGCCCCAGCACGGAGCCCCCAGCAAAGCCTGGTCCTCCCAAGGTCGTTAGACCTTTAACCCTACAGGGAAGGAAACATCTGGTCTTACCCAAAAAATCGTAGACCCTTCCGAGGTTCCGAGACACTGCCGGTCCCCCAAGATGGTCCCTTGACTTTTCCTTTCCCTTTAGGGCTCTCTCACTGACTACTGCAGTCAACCACACCCATGCAGGTGCAGGGTGCATCACCACTTTCCCCAAAAAACCACCCTGAGAACTTTTTTCAAGTTTCTTTTCCACCACAAAAACAGACTGAAGCTCCACTGAATATTAAGGGAGAACAAGAACAACAAAACAAGTACAAGAAGTATAAAAAGCCTTAGAAAGCCAAATACTTGATCCTATCATAGCCACCTTTGGCTCTCAATCCCAGACATACCCTAAGAGCCCAGTCTAGAACTACTCCCTCCCCCTCCCCCCATTCTTAATCCTCCGGCAATCCCTACTGCCCCCCTGCTAAAGGAGAGGAACCCAATAACCAGACATCAGAGACCATGGATACTAAATTAGGATTGAAGGTCCATACCTGGGGCTCAGAGGTAGGGCCAAGAGTTATTTACTCTCCCCACTCCCAACAACAAAAACAGTAACAGCCATTGAAGGTAAGCATTTGTTGTTGTTGTTAGGTGGCCTCGAGTCGGTCCGGACTCGGAGAGACCCTATATACAACAGAAGGAAACACTGCCGGATTCTGTGCTATCCCCACAACATTGTTATGCTTGAGTCTATTGTTGCAGCCACTGTGTCAGTCCATCTCTGTTGAGGGTCTTCCTATTTTTCGCTGACCCTCTACTTTATCAAGCAGGATGTCCTTCTCCAGGGACTGATCCCTCCTGCAAACATGTCCAAAGTATGTGAGACAAAGTCTCGCCATGCTTGCTTCTAAGGAGCATTCTGGTTTTTCTTCTTCCAAGACAGATTCATTCATTCTTTTCGCAGTCCATGGTATATTCAATATTCTTCGCCAACACAATTCAAAGGTGTCAATTCTTCTTCAGTATTGATCGTCCACCTTTCGCATGTATATGAGGTGACAGAAAACACCATGCCTTGGGTCAGTCGCACCTTAGTCTTCAAGGTAGGCATTGGTAGATAGTAATTACTCAGTTTTCAAAATCCCAGTGTAGTCAGAAATATGGTATCAAATCACAGGGTGTCAGCTCCAGGGGAAGGCTTTCTCTCTCTCGGCCTTCTCATCAGTGTTCCGCTAGACTAGGAACTTCTTGGCGCAGGGACCCCGGTCCAAAGGACGCGCGCTCTGCTCCCGGCACTGCTTTCTTGATAGTATGAGGTCCCCAGTTCTCTGCTTGCTTCCCTTTCCTTTCATCTCTTGTAATGTAAAAGATGGTGCAGGCCACACTCTAGGGATACTCCCTTTACAATCCCACCCTAATCCTCTTTAACATAAAATTACAATCGCAAAATGGAGGCCAACCACACAATTCTGGGAATCATGGCCCAGCCAAATCGATACACAAATTTTTGGGGGGGACATAATTCAAACCAGGACATTCCACCCTTTGGCTCCCTAAAAATCATATCCTTGCAACATAGAAAACATATTCACTCCATCATATCACAGCCAAAGTCTTATCTTCAAGTCCAAAATCCAGAAATTCCTCTTCATCTATAAAATCTAGAATACAAGTTATCTGCTGCCAAAGGTACAACAGCAGAACAGGCACAAGCTAGACATTTCCATTACTAATGGGAGAAACTGGAGGGAAAGAAGGGATAATAGACACCAAGCAAGTCAGCAGAACACATTACATTAGCCCTTCAAGGCTTTGAAAATAATCTTCCGTCATCTCAGACAATTTATACAACAGCGCTGCCCTCCAGACTCTAGGTATTGGCCACAGTCTCTGGATTTCTCAGCCCTGGGCTTCCAGGCCCACTGGGACACCAACTCTGCTCCCTCAGCTTCAGGCACACCATTCCAGTCCATCATTCTAGTCCATTGGAGTGTCAACTCCATCCTTAGAAACACCAGAGGCCATGGCTCCACCCTTTGAAACCCTTGAGGTCATGGCCATACCTTTTGAGACTGAGGCAGGGAGTGAGAGAGCTGAGGGCCTTTGGGCAGCAGGCTTCCTGATGGAGTGGGATGCTGTCTTAGTCATCTAGTGCTGCTCTAACAGGAATACCATGAGTGGATGGATTTAGCAAAGAGAAGTTTATTCTCTCACAGTCCAGTAGGCTACAAGTCCAAATTCAGGGCTTCAGCTCCAGGGGAACGCTTTTGCCATTGGCTCCGGAGGAAGGTCCATGCCATCAATCTTCCCTTGGCCTGGGAGCATCTCAGCACAGGAACCTCAGGTCCAAAGGACACGCTTTGCTTCGGGCACTGCTTTCTTGGTGGTATGAGGTTCCCATGTGTCTCTGCTTGCTTCTCTCTTTTATAGCTCAAAAGAGATTGTATTAAGACACTACCTAATCTTGTAAACCTCATCAGTGTAACATCATCACAGTGACAGAATTTACAACACATAGGAGATCACATATAATCTCATCATAGTGATAAGAGTTTACAACACATAAGGAAATCACATCAGATGACATAATCATACAATACTGGGAATCATGACCCAGCCAAACTGACAGATATTTTTGGGGGACACAACTCAATCCATGACAGATGACTTCAGGCATTTATCTGCATCTGCCAGCTGAAGAGCAGTAACACCTGCCAAAGCAGGGCAGAGGCCAAGTCCAAGCAGGGCCAGGTGGCAGAGGCCTGCCTACAGGCACAATTGAGAAGCTGTATCCTGAGTTGTTCCTGTTACTTCCAAGTTGATCCTGATCCTGAATTGTAACTCGTTACTTCCCTAATAAGCCCCATAATCTTGAGTATGGTCTGTGAGCTCTGTGTGGCCATTGCAATGAATTATCGAACTCAGCAGAGAAGCAGAGAGTGCCGTGGGAAGGATAGTTGCTGTCAGAATTGGTAAAAAAAGATTGGAAGGTGGAGATATGTCTGACCTCTACCCCATGGGAATCAGCTTTGGGCTGATGCTGATTATCCTCCCTGGCATGAAGTTAGAAGAGATCTGACCCCACCATTTGTACACTCCTTAACAATTCCACTTAAACTGCTCAGGTAAGCAGTGGCCTCTTTGATGATACTTTTGTTGCTCTGATTTCCCCTGGGAGTCTTTGGCAATTTACAAAGTTGACAATTGTCTCCTCCAAATACTCCATTTCCTTGATGTCAACAATCCCATTTTGCTTTTACTCTCATCCTACTTTTTAAAATTCTTTTTGACTTCTTTTCTTGCTTTTCTTCCTCTGTCAACCCTTTGTATCAGTGCTTTTCAAATTTTTGCATTGAAATACCACTAATCATAGCGGTGATAAACATGTACTTTTGCATTCACCACCCAGGTCTCATGCATGAATGAGTCTACAGTCCCTAATGCCAAAGGAAAATTTACTTCAACTGTTACATTTTATCTTTAAAATTTAACCAAATTTTGCATTGATCTTCATAATATATTCATATATGTTGTACTATAAAGTATTTTAAATTGGTTAGGACTTAAGTTACTTAACATTTCTCCCCCAGACTTTCAAGTATGTATTTTAAGAAAACACACCAGTCACTTATGTCACAAATATTTAGTAATTTCTAAGTGCTAGACAGTGGGGATATAGTATGAACAAAACATAGTCCCAGTCCTCATGAAGATTTCAGAGTCTAGTCGGAAAGACAGATAATAGACATGTATATAAACAATTTCAGATCCATTAGTTGATAATGGATAAATGAATGAATGAACAAGATAAAGCAGAGTAAGCGGGAAGGGTGCTAACTGAATCAGGGAAGAGACGACTTCTCTGAGATGTAACATGTTTTGCCTGTGGCTTCACACTCCTGAAATCTGATGCATTAAACACTGGTGTTTTCAAGATCTTGATCCTTGGTCCTCTTCAGCTTACTCTACAGTTTCCTTGGATATCTCACATATGCCCAGGGAAAGGATATAACACACACAAATTAGTAGGGATGTAAATGATTTGAACATTATTGGTGAACTTGATCAATATATATAAATTACAACACCAAATACAATTTCAGAATACATATTCTTTTCAAGTACACACGAAACATGAACAAAATTTGACCATATTTTTGACCATAAAGCAAGTCTCAATAAATTTCAAAAGAAAGAGTATGTTCTCTGACAAAGTATTAAGTTGAAAATCAAACACCAAAAGATAACTAGGAAATTTATACATTTGAAAATTAAGAGATACATTTCTAAATAACCCATGGGATAAAACAATAAACCATAATAAAAATCATAAAATATTTCATCTGAATGTTAGTAAAAATACTACATGTCAAAACTTGTCATTAAGTCTTATTAAGTCTTAAATGTACATATTAGAAAACAAAGCCTGACAATCAATTATCTAAACAGTCAAATCAAGGAGTTACAACAGGAAATCAAATTCAAATAAAGTAAAAGAAAGAAAGAAATATAAAAAATAAGACCAGAAACTAAAG